TATGTCCTGACTGGGAATTGAACCAGCTACCTCTTGGTTCATGGGTTGACACTCAGCCACTGAGCAACACCAGCTGGGCTAAATCATTTTTATTATACAAGAGGTGTTTTTTCAAAATAGGTTGTTGAAGTCAGATCAACATGAAAGTTTTGCAATCTAGATGGTACTAAGATACCCATGCCTTTTGTTTATTTTAGAAAAGAACTCTTTTTAAAACGAGTTCATAGTTGATTTATTAATTCATGATGCAATGGTTTAAAGGAAAATTCTCTTAAAATAAGAACTAATCAGCCCTTTTTACAAATTTAAAATACTTACAGACTTTCAGTCACTTCTAAGCAATTTGTAAGAAATTGTCCTAAAAGAGTATTTACATATGTATGAGAAGACGTAAGATGTTTATTGCTATAATTTTGAAGTAATGAAATTGAAAAATCCCAACTACGTATTTATTAGAGGGGTTACCATAGTTGTGTTAAAATAAGTGAAATACTACACCAGGGGTCCTCAAACTACGGCCCGCGGGCCACATGCGGCCCGCCGAAAACATTTATCCGGCCCGCTGGGTGTTTTTGCTGCTGCTGCCTGTCCTGCTTAGCAGCCGACTCGTCCCGGGCCCGCAGTGCGCATGTGTGGAATGTCTGAGGGACAGTGAACTGTTTAAAAAGTTTGAGGACCTCTGTAAGCCGTAGATCATAGATGTGTATATTGATGTGAAAAAGATAAAAAGGAAACTTGCAAAACCTGTTTAGTTGGAATTAAAATTTTGTGTTTTTATATACTTTTTAAATTTTTATTTTTCAATTGCAGTTTACATTCAATATTATTTTGTATGTCAGGTGTCCAGCATAGCAGTTATACAATCATATACTTTACAAAGTGGTCCCCCCAATATTTCATGTACCCACCTGGCATTGCGCATAGTTATTACAGTACTATTGACTATATTCCCTCTGATGTATTTTACATTCCTGTGACTATTTTGTAATTCCAATTTATAGTTTAACACAATCTAAATGGGTATATACCAAACTCTTAAATGGATAGTGCCATAGCTAATGCTCTCACCATGGTGTATCAGAATTCCGGTTTTCACATCTTCACTGACAGTGAGTTGTCAAACTCTGGGTCTTTGTCAGCGAGAGACCCAAAAGGTGTAAAAATGTACAGTGGGGCCTTGACTTACGAGTTTAATTCATTCCGAGACCAAGATCGTTAAGGAGCTCGTTAACTCAAATTACTCTGTCAACTCAAAGCAAAAAATCAGCCGAGAGACAGCTGGTATCAAAAAACTCGTTAGTCGGGACACTCATAAGTCAAGGCCCCACTGTATTTCTTTGTGGGCTTGACAGAGTTGTCATCAAGATATTTCTTTGTGTAGGTATTCCCTGCCTATACCCTCAGTTTGAGCGTGATGGACAGGACTTCTGGCACCTTTCCACTCAGGAGCCACCCAAAACTTGGGTGTTTTATCTGGGAGAAGGTGCCTACCACTAGCTTCTTCCATCCTAATGCAGCCTCAGCCTGACCATGCTAGGACCAGACCTTGCTTTCTTGAGTGTTTTGTCCAGGAATTTTCTAGGAAAATTTGCTGTTAGGTACTCTATGTAAATGCATTTCTTGCAAGTTTCTCAACTTGAACACTGGCAAATAGCAATGTTAACTCATTAGTTTATCCTATGGAAAAGTTACAAAGCAGTACATTTCTTAAGTATCCAGATGTTGAAAATGAAAATAATTTGTTTCTCTTTAATTTAGTGTAAATACAGTTGACCTTTTCTTTAAATTGTCTTGTTCTGTGAAGTTCTACTTGACAGGTTTCTAGAACAATACACCATGTTAACTAATTTTGAAACTGTCTTAATATACCAAATGTGACCAGTTCTGTCTGATTATACCTAGTTTTTTAGTCTTATATATGCACAGTACTATATATATTTTAATAGTTATAGTTTATTTTATAAGTCAGATATCCTGGGTTAGAATCCCTGTGTCACCTTGGGCAAGTTATTTCACCTGTTTCTATTCATCTGGAAACGGGGCTGGTGATAACTGTCTCAGAGTTGTGCGGATTAAATGTAGGGAGCTAAACCACAGGGGTCCTTGCATACTACTATCACTTAGTGGTTTGGAACCTATACCTCAGCTTCTTCGTCTGAGAAATGGAAATCCCTGTACAGCTATTCTGAGGCATGTGTGGAACAGACAACACTGTCCATTGGCACATGCTTGCTGTGACCATTCTGACAACATTGTTTTGTCTCAGGCTCATGGATTGCTGGCTGGTGTCACTGCTGCTGGGCAGGCAGAATCAGAAACAGCACAGTCACAGACAGTCCTGTGTGTGAGGGGACAGCCTCCTGCAGCAGCAGTGAGACATGTGTGCCAGTGCTGCGCTGTGTCCAAGTATCCGTAGTACATGTTTCCTCTCATCACCCTTGAGTTATGAGAAGTTGGATGATTTTCTAGTAAGTTGTGATTAGGACTTAATTTTTAGATGCAAATACCTTTTTTAAAAAAAATCATTTACTGAAATACATAAAAGAATACCACAATAAATGGTCATAATACAATGACCCTGGAAAGGGTACCTCACTTTATTTATTTTTTAAAAATGTTTTTATTGATATTAGAGAGAGGAGGAGGAGAGAGAAATATTGATGAGAGAGAAACAACATCGATTGGCTGCCTTTTGTACACCTCGTGCTGGGAATGGAGCCTGCAACCCAGGCATGTGCCCTGACTCAGAATCGAACCAACAATCTCTTAGGCAGGGGTCGACACTCAACTGTTGAGCCACACCATCTAGCAAGGGTGCCTCGTTTTAAACAGCTTTTTAAAGAGCAATTTTTGTATAATAAAATCAATTCATTTAAAATTGTGCATTTTGATTGAGCTATGGAACCTCAAATGTATTTCAATAAAGTTTTTTTACAGTTTTTAAAAATTTTCATTGCTGTTGAGAATCAGATCTATTTTTCATGGCCTTTTTAGTTAGTTTTCTAGTATAGAAGAAAGTGGCTTAATTTAAATATTAATCTTTCAATTTTCTGCTGAGATGTCTGTAATAGAATTTAATCCATTATAGCAATTACTGTTACTATCATGTGGAGAGTAATCAAGTATTTCAAGAAATGCAACATTTAAAAAATTATTTAGACCTGCTCTTTGATTTCACTCTGAAATTGAGAAGCACATTGCAGAGAGGGAGGGGCAGTAGAAGCTGGCAGTTAGTCCTGGCCGGGTGGCTCACTGGGTTGGAGTGTCGTCCTGGTCAGAGCATAGACCTAGGTTATGGGTTCGATCTCTTTTGGAGGCCTGTACAGGAGGCAACTAAGTGATGTTTCTCACATCGATGTTTCTCTCCCACCCCCCTCTCTCGTGCTCTCTAAAATCAATCAAAAACATATCTTCGGATGAGGAATTTTTTTAAGTGAGAATTTAAAAGAAGAAAAAAAAAACCCGGCAGTTAAAACACCTCTCGGTCTGCCTATTCTATTTTGTGAAGTTTATTGTTTAGTTTATAACTGATCAGAAGTTTGATTCTGGACCCTGCCAATTTGGATTCTGCTTAAGATACAAGTGGTTTCTCTGATTGGTAAAGACACTGGCACTGTCGTCAGATGTCTGTTTTCTATTGGGCCCCTGGGTCTGCCTCGGGTGTGAAATGGCTCTACTTTGTAGACATGAGAGGGGCTCCGCTCCAGAGTCTCAGTGCCTGTGTGTGGATGAACTGGGGCATCTCAGGCTATTCTCTTAGGAGCTGTGTCCTAGGTGAGCACAGATGGTATGCGACCCATATCAGCTCATTGGAACTTTGATCCTGGTGAGTTCAAATTTGTCCGCACAACTGATTTACTCTATATTTTTCCAGGAAACACAGGGCATCCAGTCAAACAAATGTCAGTCATTTGCATTCCTGATTGTTTGATTTGAACATAGTGAAATGTTATTCTAATGTCAACCGATCCTGTGGAGCACTTTCTTAATAGCTCACCTGCTGTCTCCTGGCCATCTTTGGGGGGAGGGATATGGATTACCACCACTTGGTCTGTTGGCCTAACTTTCATCTTCCTTGTTATCATTTCCACCCAAAATTTTCTTCTCTCTCTTTTTTTTTTTTAATGATAGATCATACTGTCTGACTGTCATCCATGGCTATGCTTCCTTGCTTTCAAGGTGATGCTGACATTAGCAGACTGGCTCATGGGTATAACTTAGGAGATGCTGCTTATTGGTGGTAGCCTGAAAGTTGGACAAGTGATTTCCTATTTGTATGTATGTGAAATTAATGTTGGGCCTTTGACTAGTATGACAAATTAACTGCTTAGTATACTAGTATGTGACAGCTTGTTAATTAGTATTTTATTGTTCCCTACCAACTCTCTCCAGAGTAAGCATTTAGATTTCTAGAGTTTCTTTTCCTTTATCTCTTTGGGTAAGTAGTCTACCAGTTTTCCTGGTATTTTAGACAGTAGGCAATAACTAAACGTATTCACAGCTCTCAGTAATATTTGTTCTATTGTTTTGTTTTGAGGTGGAAGGGGGAGCTCTACCCTCAGAACATGAGGGGTAATATTTGCGTGGCTCACAAAGACCAGTGAGTACATCATCTGCATTTCCCACAGCTCACCAGAGGAGGGCTCTAACTCCAGTTTCGATCCAGCCTTTTCTGTCCCTCAGAGAACACTATTCATTATGGCCAAGTGTTGTAATTTTCCTTAGTATTTTCTTGGAAATGTTGAGGGATGGGGTACCTATTACAAAATTTGGAAATAAATAAATCAGATGAGAAGACTATGCTCCTGAATGATTATTTGGTTTAACAAAGCCCCTTGATTTAATGTGACTATGGATGTGTTGGCTGGAGTGTAGTTTCAGATCTTCCCACTGAACCTACAGGCTTTAAGAAATCAACCCAGGAGTATTTTCCTGTCGAACAAATGGGTTCTTAGATCATACATGTCATTGATCCCAGCTCTCTGCTTCTCCTGAGCTAGGCGATGGATCACTTGGAGTCCTTTATCGCTGAGTGTGATCGGAGAACTGAACTTGCCAAGAAGCGGCTGGCAGAGACACAGGAGGAGATCAGTGCAGAAGTTTCTGCAAAGGTATGTTTGAGAGGTTTTCGCCTTGAGTTATTGGTACAAATCACGGTCTGGTAAGAACTGGGCTGCCGACGGACTTACAGCTCAACATCAGCACTGATAGTGCATCTTTGGGATGGACACTCTGCCTTGAGTGTCTCCAGTAAAAGGGTGGCTGTCAGTGAGCTCTCAGCTCCCAGGAGCTACTGCTGCTGTTCCTGCCCCCACCATACATACTGTTTAAAGTTTGTGTTTTTAGTACCCTACATAAACCGGAAATGGGAATTGGGGAAATGTTTGAACTTTAGTACATCCATATCATGGAATGAAGGTAGATCTGTATATAATTGGCCTGCGTGTCAGCTGCATTACTCTTCTGTACTCCCTGTTCAGTAGAACTAAAACTGCTCATTGTTTTTTCCCTTTCAGTTTTGTAAAAGCATTTCTTAGAATATATGCAGTTGCTAACTGGTCCAAAAGTGTTGTTTTATTTCTGAAAGTAAATACAAATAATTAGGCATTTTGCTTACAGTATAAGTTTCATGTATTTAAACATAGACATTTTATTACTCTTACCCCAAAATATCGAACTGTGTAGTGTAGGAGACATAAAAAGACACAGCCTGGAAAATAACCAGTGTTGATCCTTGCAGCCATATTGGAAGTGACAGAGATGCCGCTGCTTTTATTGGAACATGGTGTACAGGTTTAGTTTATGGTCAGAGTCTCAGTGTTGGCAATAAGGATGTCGTAATGGTCACAATTTATGTAAGCCACCAAGGATCTTTAACTGTTCTGTTTATTTTCAGTGGAACAGACCAGAAATTCAGCAGGCGACACACTCATTTTCTTTGTATTAAAAATCTTTTGTTTTTTAGATGCCTGTTTACTTGATTGTTTCTCTCCCCTTAGGCAGAAAAAGTACATGAGTTGAATGAAGAAATAGGAAAACTCCTTGCTAAAGCTGAGCAGCTGGGAGCAGAAGGAAATGTGGATGAATCCCAGAAAATTCTTATGGAAGTGGAGAAAGTCCGTGCAAAGAAAAAAGAAGCTGAGGTTGGTGAGAAAAATGTCTTGGAGAACGGGGAAACTGAGTAATTCCAGAGAGTTGACTGTGGACTGAAATTTAAGGCATGCCTCTATTTTTGAATCTTAGGAGGAGTTAAAATAAGGGGAGACATTGACAGGACCCCAGTGCATGCTTGGGCTTGTCTTTACTGTGCCCCCTGGGGTCCCTTTGTAACCTAAGACCAGTCACTTGCCCGATCTGAGCATAATTCCCATGTGTGAGGCTCCATAGACCAGTTCTACTGCTTATTCCTCCAGTTCCCTGGGGAGTTGGTGGGCTGTGGTGGTTTTATAGCCTGTGTGACTGGACCACAGTTGTATTGCAGATTGCTGTAAAGAATGAAACCTTTGATGCTGCATCTTCGGTAGAGAGAGCCTGTGCAGGTTGGGGTAGCATACAAGTGGTATCGGCCTGGATGCCAGGCCAGGACACACTGGCAGTGTGGTAGCGGAACAGATCAAGGGCTCAGTGTTTTTTTTCACTGATAACTGTTTTCTTACTAGATTATTTTATCGGTTGGATACCTTGTCCTTGAATCCTCACCACTACAGTTAGAAGTGGCTTGAGAATGGTAGAGCCAGAGTGAGACAGGGTGTGCTCGCCAAGCTTCATCTCAATGCCAGGCACTTTTTTAGTTGTGAGCAAGCTGGAAGAGGGCCTCCTCTGATGGAGATGGCACTGGAGAATGGGTGGGGGCACAGACAGAAGAGAATGTGAACAGTTGGATAAGCTTAATTAAGAAGAAATGGGGTCTGAATTGGAGAGTGACTTTGGGTTGTATGGGGTCTCCAGGTAGGGTAAGTTAATCCTGAAGGCCACTTGGCTGAGATCCACAGACTGAGAAGTTTATCGGAGTGGTGGGGGCAGGAGGGCCAGGTAGAGATGAGGAGATGGCATATAGGTGCCTCGGTGTAGGTCTGGTTTTGGTTGTCACCACCTCTGGCTCAGCATGGCATACGTAATAGGATGGTGCCAAGGGTCATGGGTGTTAGAGCAGTGCTTGCTGAAGGAGTGACAAATTGAAGAGACAGCAATGGGTTTACTCATGATGGCACTGTCAGGACACCTTTCCATGGTGCCCCAGCAGCACAGGCTGGAATTGAGGTCAGCAGTGTTTGTTGGAAGGTGGTGCTGCGATAATGCTTCATGCACCTGTCACACCAACATCCCTTTCAGTGATATTCGTAGGTAATATAATCCATTCTTGACGTAAAAGAGAGACAAAAGAATTCGCAATACATATCTGATGTTTTTGTATATAATTGCTTAGATTGATCACACTAAAAGATAAATGAACCCTGGCCCCCGTGCTCAGTGGTTAGAGCAATGGCCTAAGCACCAAAGGGTCGTATGTTCATTTAAGTCCTTCATAGGAACTAAATCTCTGTATACTTAAATGGGAAATTTGTGTTGATATGTAGTACAGAGTTAGGCTCCCGGAGTTGCTGTTGACAGCTCAGCTGTACTAGGAAGACCAGAGAGTTAGGAGAGACCCTCCGTGGCCTCTTACCACACACTGAAGGCCAGCTCTTTCTGCTTCAAAGAACCAAGCAGACACCAAAGTCTGTGATGGCTCAAAGATTTACACATGGGCTAAAGTAATTGTAGCTGTGGCGTTCACCACAGATGCCCAGCCAGTCTCCTGGGAAATGTTTTGAATGTGTGGATTAATAGATTGCTTACAATCAGGCCTCCCTTTAAGGATAAGTGACTATTGTAATGCATATCTTAAACCTGGATTTTGAAGGAGCATTCTAACTTGGGCACAAGCAGCAGTTTCCATGTCATGTTTCATTTTTTTTTCGTGTCATATATTTTGAGCCTGAGTGAGTTACTTCTTGTGATTGGACTCAGACTGAAGTGGCTGCAGGAGGGAACTGGTTTTGTTGTTTTGTTGTGCATACTTTCTTCTTTGAAGAGAGTGTCTAATATTAATTTGTCCTCCCAAATTTTATCTTTTGGCGCTGCATTGGGATATAGCTTCCTAGACATTGGGACACAAATTCTGTGGATGGTGCTCGAGTTTTTGCTTGTTCATTTGGTTTATTTTTTGAAGGACCCTGCTGAAGATTCTCCTGTCTTGCTTCTCTGGTCTTCACTCCCCGCAGTGCCTAAAGACCTGCCTTCACTATTTCCTCGCGGATAGGCAGCATCCTGCTGGTCTGAATGTTTTGAATTTTCCTTGTTTTAAAATCATGGTTTTTTGATTCTTTCAAAAAAATTTCTTAATTGATTTTTAGAGAGAGAGAGAGAGAGAGAGAGAGAGAGAGAAAATCGATCCTTTCCATTTATTTATGCATTCACTGGTTGATTTTTTTTTTTTTTTAAATATATTTTATTGATTTTTCACAGAGAGGAAGGGAGAGAGATAGTCAGAAACATCGATGAGAGAGAAACATCGATCAGCCGCCTCCCGCACATCTCCCACTGGGGATGTGCCCGCAACCCAGGTACATGCCCCTGACCGGAATCGAACCCGGGACCCCTCAGTCCGCAGGCCGACGCTCTATCCACTGAGCCAAACCGGTTTCGGCCACTGGTTGATTTTTATATATGCCCTGACCAGGGATCGAACCTCGCAACCTTGGCCTATCGGGACAACCCTCTAACCAACTGAACTGGCCAGGGCTGTTGGTTCATTTCTTAAATAAATGATGAAGTTAAATTGGTTAAAAATATCTGAAACTTTGAAATGATCAAATTCTTATTTATTTATTTATTTATTTATTTATTTATAACTCACTTCTATAGTCCCTTTAAATATTTCCATTTTAGGGGTTGACTATTTGGTGGCATTTTCATCACTCCATTCTCTTTTTCCAGGAAGAATACAGAAATTCTATGCCTGCATCCAGTTTTCAACAGCAGAAGTTGCGTGTCTGTGAAGTCTGCTCAGCCTACCTTGGTCTTCATGACAATGACCGTCGTCTTGCAGACCACTTTGGGGGCAAATTGCACTTGGGGTTCATTCAGATCCGAGAGAAGCTTGATCAGTTGAGGGTAAGAAGTCTTGTGATCTTTTCGCATTTATTTCCTTCTAGAAAACTTTTGTTTTTATCCTAAGAATGTGCCTTGAGTTTTATAGTGAAATAAATGCTCAATTCATCACTTACACAAGAGACCTAAGGGGCCTTGGACATTTATTTAGTCTGCATTCCCTTTTTATAAGGATAATGGCAGAGTCCGGTATGAGGATATGGATACCTCTTGCACATCTCCGAAATAACTTCTGTTAGGAGATGGGAAAAAACCAGCAGCCTCTAGTTTTTCTCTTTGGACAGAGGCAATGCATGTGCATGACAAATGGTTAGGCTAGATGGGAGACGACACATCCTGGCCCTTGCCCTGAGCCAACTTAGGCTAAGAAGGTAGTTGTTTTCCTGGGTTAGACTGTAAAACATTTGACATCTTGAGTACAGAACACTAAGAAGAAAGGGTGAACATATTTCAGATACTTAGAATTATCGTTCTCCAAACTGACAGGAGTCTTCCCTGCTATGTACTGTGTTAAAGATGGGATGCTGGGAAATAGGAAGGCCTTCCCTCTAGACACCTGAAATCTGGTGGAAGGACAGATATGTGGCATCTAACTGTAGGACACTGATAAGACTGAGACTCTTGTGTGCCTCTCAGGAAGGAGCAGTGGGTAGCAGAGCTCTGCATCGAAGGAGGGGTCCCCAGGAAGGTGATGTGTGATCTCGGCACTGGGCAAGGGAGCTGGGGTGGCAGTGAGGATGTTCTCAGCCACTGGTCTTGACACATTTTATTCCTGTGCTCCCAGTAGGATTTTGAAAATTAATATGCTTTGTCACATGTTTTTAAGTCAGAATTTTTACTTTATTAGTTTATGGGTATCAGAGTTGTAAAAATATATGTAGCCAGTAGAACATAAATAACAATTTTGTGTTTGTCCCCATTTAAAAAATCTCCTTAGCATTTGGAAATGTCACATTCCCATTTCTCTCTCTCTCACTCTCTCTTTCTTTGTTGTTGTTAATCCTCACCTGAGGATATTTTTCCATTGATTTTTAGAGAGAGTTGAAGGGAGGTGGAGAGACAGAGAGAAACATTGACATGAGAGAGACACATTGATTGGTTGCCCCAGAGATTCAGGTACAACCGAGGCATGTGCTCTTGACCGGAATCGAATCTGGGACCCTTCAGTTCGAGGGCCAACACTCTATCCACCGAGCAAAACCAGCGAGGGCCCATTTCTCCTTTAAATTGTAGTTCCATGCCATATCACTCCATAATTTTGTCCTGAAAGCTTTTCATTTCTGTAACGCATATCTACATCAGAAAGGTGAATTTATTAAAATATTTTCCCCTAAAACCTTAAGAACTTAATTACTCAGTTGATCTAGAAAGTATGTTTTATCTTTACAGTGATGAGTAGTATATAGTTGACCAAAACAACACAAGTATATTACAGATTTTGTTAAATAGCTATTAAACTAACAACAGAAAATGTATTTGGAAGGGTAGCTCTAAATGATAAAGAGGGTGGGAGTTCTATGCTCTAATCAGAGATGACTTCACAGTGGTCCCAGAGGTGTTCACATCTCAGAGCCACACACTGAAGTAAATGCGGGGGTATAGAAGACTAAGGCCTTATTTGTCGGGTGGGGAAAGATCGTTTTCTAGGGAGTGGGAAGAGTTTGGAAAGGAAATGATGCCAGCCTACAGATCTGTTCATGGTCAGATTTTTTTAGGAAGTGCGCATGGAAGCAGAGGTGCTGAGACTTCTATTAATATTAACCTGCCCATTGTGTGTGCCTGCCCCAGGTGCAAGGGGTTGGAGTCCCAGGTGTAGAGCTGTAGGTGCCAGACAGGAAGGTTCTCATAGCTGAAGAGTGCTTCAGGGAGGAAAGCTAGCCTCTCTCAGACCTTGCTGTGCCTTCTCTTGCTGAGGACCTGGCCTGGTTCCAGTCCACACTGAGATTTAAGATCTTCCTTCATGCCTTCATGGGTATGAGAAGACTGGTGACTGTCTCATTGGCTCGGGCTTACCTTTAGGACTTCATTTTAATGAGCAAAGAGATCAGGCCATTGAAAGGTTTGAAAGACGTTAGGTTGGGGATGTGCAGATTGAACTGCTTTGCACTAAGCTGTGTTGATTGTGTTCCAGTAGTGCAAGTTTCTCAAGGCCTCCTCCAGCCCGTTGCATTTTCTTTTCTGTTGGGTTCACAATCAAGCCTAATGAGCCATGTGTTACGATTGGAGGTTCATGGTCCACTTCCCTGCTTGCTTCCCTGTGAGGCCAGGTCTAAAGGCACCTGAAGACTGGCTGCTCCTCGACAGCAGGAGCTTGGCTCCCAGCAACAAGATGCATTTGGTCTGATACCTGTGTTCTCTTTCACCATAAAGTTTTCACCAGAAAACTAACTTTATGGATTGATTTAAAGCAATATGATACATTTTCTGTGACTTAGAAGTACATCTCTTAGACTATGCAGTTTCTCGCCCTGGCTGGCAAGCTCAGTGGTTAGAGCGTCAGCTTGGGCGTTGAAGGGTCGCCAGTTTGATTCCTGGTCAAGGGCACGCACGTGGGTTTGCAGGTTCAATCCCTGCCGTTGATCAGTGCGGGTGTGAGAGGCAATCAGTCAATGTGTCTATCGCACATCCATGTTTCTCTCTCTCTTTCCCTCCCTCCCTCACACCAACCCCCCTTCCTTCCACTCTAAAAATCAATGGAAAAAATATCCTCACTCCTTAGGTGAGGATTAAAAAAAAGAAGGTATGCACTTTGTCACTGAATTGATAAAATGTAATGATAGTCCAGCCAGTGTGGTTCAGTGGTTGAGTGTTGACCTATGAACCAGGAGAACCTAGCTTGATTACTGGTCAGGGCACATGCCTGGTTGTGGGCTCAATTCCCAGTAGGGGGCATGCCGGAGGTGGCCGATCGATGATTGTCTCTCATCATTGATGTTTCTATCTCTCCCTCTCTCTTCCTCTCTGAAATCAATTAAAATAGGTTTACAATTTTTTTAGTGTGATGATGAAGCATTTTAAAATGAGTTTTCCATTTTTCATTGTTTAAGAAGTTTTTAAATTGACCATGTTCCTGTTAAGACTTTCTCTTAGATTTTTAAGTTCCAATACTGAGGTCATATAAATGTGCTTTATTAAGCAGTATTTACACTCTAGTAACTTTCTCTTCTCTCATTCTCCAATTTTTCATTTATTTAGAAAACTGTGGCTGAAAAACAGGAGAAGAGAAACCAGGATCGCTTGAGGAGGAGAGAAGAGAGGGAACGGGAGGAGCGGCTGAGCAGGAGGTGAGCCCGAGATAGCACATAGTAAGGAAACCCCTACTTTCATTGCAGTGTTGCTGATAACAGTTGAGGTCTGCTAAGTACCTAAGAGGCAGTTAAAAGAAAATAAACCCGCAGCATGTTCAGTTGAGCAAGGTCTTGGCTGGCCTAGAAAGACCTGTGTGCACAGTAGTGCAGCACTGGACTGGGCTATCTTCAGCTGCACGAGAACTCTGGTGACTTAATTCTTACCTGGAAAGATCTAGACACCACCCTCCATCCCCCACCCCCGAGAGTAAAGCATAGAAGAGGGAGAGGAACCTGCTACACCCAGACTCCTGTGGATGTAGCACTCGGCATTAGGACAGGCAGGAACAGGTGTCACGCTGCTATGCCTAGCTGTGCAAGAAGGTCCTTGGGGCTGTTTAGCCTCTGGCATTGACTTGAGTGAAATGGGGCCAGTGGAGGAGGTTGGGACCTGCTGCCTTGTGAGTAAATGCAGGTGGTAGGGGCAGTAGCGGCAAGAATAGTGAGGAGCCAGCTGGGAGAGCTCAGAAGGAGGAGGTGGAAGTTTAAATCAGGTGAGGGTGGGAAGGGGCTGGGTATAGAGCTGATAAGATTTCTTGGTAATCAGTTGTGAGGAAACCAAAGGGGGAATGGAGTTGGTGTCATGGTTCTGGCCTTGAGTGACCATCTACGGAGGTAGGAAAGACTAGGAGCTGTGTGTTGGCGTGAGGAGGATGTAGGGAGTATAAATTGACTGTGGCCATACTCAGTTTGAGATGTGTAAGAACATCTACGTAGAGATGTTGAGTCTGGTCGGAGTTCAGGCAGAGACTTGAGCCAGGAGTAACTGTGCTCTCCTATTGGGCACAGCTCATTGTCCTTGAAAGGCCCAGAAACTGGGTTTTCCTGAAGGACTTCCTCTGTGTGTAACTATGGAAGGATAAATAAGTATTTATTATATTTTTCCCATTAATTACCTAACAGATTCTGGTTGTAAAGAAACGTAAGCAGTATAGAAATGTACAAGCAAAACATGCAAGTCCCTGTTTACACAGAGGTGACCACTGTGGTGTGGGTTGTGTCTGTGCACTGGCACCTGTGGGACCCTCAGCTGACATCTGAGATCATCCCACAGCAGGTGTGTCCTTACAGTGACGTGTCATAACAGTATTCTTTTTCCCCCACCTTCACCCTTTTCATTCACTTCCCCATCCCAGGCCTCCACATATAAGTGAAATCATATAGTATTTGTCTTTGTTCGACCTGTTTCACTTAGCATAATGCCCTCAAGGTCCATCCATGTTGTCACAAATGGGAGGATTTCCTTCTTTTATATGGCTGGATAATATTCCCTTGTGTATGTATCACTTTTCTTTATTCATCTGTCAGTAGACACTTGGTTGGGGTTACAAATAAATACAGTAGTTCCCCCCTTATCTGCAGGAGATAGATAACCTAAACCTGGATGCTTGAAACTGCAGATAGTACTGAACCTTAAGTAAGCTGTTTTTTTCCTGTGTATACTCTACGGCTTCTCTTTGCCAGCATCATTACTCCTGTTCTCTGTGGTCAATATTAAGTAGAATAAAGGTGACTTGAACGCAAGCAATGTGGTACTTCACCAGTTGTTCTGATAACCAATATGGCTACTGAGTGACTTATCAGGCCGTAATACATACAGCATGGATATGCTTGACAAAGGGATGATTTGTAGAACGGAGTGGGATGCTGAAAGATTTCATCATGCTACTCAGAAGGGTGTGCAATTAAAAACTTATTTTTTCTTTCTGGAATTTTAATGTTTTCAGACTGAGGTTGACCGTGGGTAACTGAAGCTGCAGAAAATGAAAGGAAAGGGGGGACTACTTTATCTAGAAGTGGAATTGCTGGGGCATTGGTGGGTCTAGTTTTAATTCTTCAAGGAATTTCCATCATGGCTGCATTAATCTACATTTCCACCAACAGTGTATGAGGGTTCCCTTTCCTTTTCTGGTTGGGGGGGTGGGGTGGGGAGCTCATTTTGGTCTTTTTTTTTTTTAATTTTTTAAAAAATTGATTTTAGAGAGGAAGGGAGAGGGAGAGAGAGATAGAAACATCAACAATGAGACCCACTGGGGATCGAGTCCACAACATGGGCATGTGCCCTTGACCGGAATTGAACCTAGGACCCTTGAGTCCACAGGCCAACGCTCTATACACTGAGCCAAACCAGCTAGGGCCAATTTTAATTTTTGATGACTACTTTTATGTTTTTATAAAACTATTTTGAACAGTTATTCTAGAAATCATCTTTGTATATGTTTTGAGTGTTAAAAAATTCCTTAGAATTTCTGGCATAAAGGAGTTTAATAAATAAGTATTGGTAGGTGTTACAGAAATTGCTTTCCAAGTGGCTTTATTAAATCACCTCAAGCCACACAGTATAAGAGCATGTTTTGTCACTTCCTCCTCAGCCCATGTTTCTGGCAATCATGTAAACTTTTGATGTGGACACTGTAAAATGAGGTCTCATTACTATGTGCATTTTTTGAATTGCTGATGGTATACTATTACCCAAGGACCTCATCTGGCAGTGAGCCTGTGTTTGGAACTTGAGGTTTTGCTTTAACTTCGGCGTCATGGTGACTTTTGCTTCTACTCAGCCCTGTGTCTATTAGGTGACTGCTTTGTTGTGCTGGTGTCCACTATAAAGACTTCGCAGAGTCAATTATTGAACTCAAGGTGCTTGGTCCTGTCCTTTTGCCAAAAGCAACTAAGAACTGGGGGTTGGAGGTGGACTTCATTTTGTAAGCATTGACACTTGGTGCAACAGGCCTGAGGACAAGTGAAACACTAGAAGATAACGGGTTTCTGTGGGAAGTCGACCCTCCTTCACCTTGTAGAATTGGGACTCCTCCCCTGAGATGTGAGGGAGGGATGGGGCTGTTTTGGGGAAAATGTTCATTCTTTTTCTCCCTTCATTTTAGGTCTGGATCAAGAACCAGAGATCGCAGGAGGTAGGTTTCCAGATCCAGTTAATCCCTAGCCGGTTTGGCTCAGTCGATAGAGCATTGGCCTGTGGACTGAAGGGTCCTGGGTTCTATTTTGGTCAAGGGCATGTACCTCAGTTGCAGGCTTGATCCTGGATTCTACTAGGGGTCTGTGTGGGGGGCAACCAAACGATGTCTCTCTCACGTTGATGTTTCTCTGTCTCTCCCCCTCCCTTCCATTTCTCTAAAAATAAAAGGAAAAATATCCTCAGGTGAGGATTAAAAACAAGCAGATCCATTTAAGTGTTCTCAGTCACAGGTTCTTTTCCACATGCATTTTTCTTCTTTATTTTAGAGAGGAAGGTGGGAAGGGTCTGGTCATAATTCTTTTCTGACCAGAGATTAACTGATGGCACTATTTTGAACCCAAGCTGTAAGGAGGAAAGGAGAGAGAGCAGAAAAGCATCAAGCTGAATGTGCTGAGAGAGGAGAGTCGTTGGGGTGGGGCCACCACAACCTTCAGAGCCTCTGGTCTACTGCAGGTCACGTTCCCGGGACCGGCGTCGGAGGCGGTCAAGATCTACCTCTAGAGAACGACGAAAGCCTTCCAGGTCCCGGTCCCGAGACCGACACCGGCGTCACCGCAGTCGTTCCCGGAGTCACAGCCGGGGCCACCGCCGGACTTCCAGGGACCGGAGTGCGAAATACAAGTAACTACTCTGACTTCTTCAGTAGCTGCAACCAGGAGTGAGCCCTTTCTCTTTGTGTTCCCAGGGTCTGCTGGGGTCCGTCAGCCATGCCTGTTGCTCAGGAGACTGGCTGGGCATCTGTGGGACTGAGTATTGGGGCCTTGAGGAGTGGTGAATGGAACCCAAAGTCCTGGGAGCCCTAAGCTGAGAGCAGCAGATGGAGTCAGGGATGGGACAACTGAGAGGCTGTGGGGGTGGTCACACATGAACATGGCCCCACCAGGTGCCTGACACACGCAGGGGCTATCAACTCACCATCACTGAGGCTTGTGCCCTGCTTATCTCTGTTGTGGTTTTTCTAAGGGAAAACACACCACTGGTAACCACTGTTACAACTTTGGTATATGCTTGGGTTTAGTCTTTTTTTTTTTCCATTGTGTTTTTACATAATGGGTCATATTCCGCGTGTGGACCTTTTGTTGCATTTTCCTTTGCTCTGTTTATATTATAGCTGCTACTAGAAATCTTTTCAAATGTCACTTTTTTAGTGGCTATGGGCTGGGCATGAGATGGCAGGCCTGACTGCTCTCTGGTGTGCTAGGGAGCCTTCCTTGGTGGGGTGGGTCTTGACCTTCCTTGACCTGGTGTTGAGGGGCATCTGAGGAGACAGTCAGAAGGGAGACAACAGCCTCTGCTGAGCCTCTGGTTCCCATTTCCCAGGTTCTCCAGAGAGCGGGCGTCGAGGGAGGAGTCCTGGGAGCGAGGTCGGAGCGAGCGTGGGGCCACCGACTGGAGGCTTGAAAGCTCCAACGGGAAGACATCGGAGGAGAAGGAGGCTGGAGAGATCTGAACCTATGCCTGGGCGCTGTAAATAGTCTGATAAATGTTGGACACAGCCTGAAGTTACCCTTTATATTTGCTGAATACAACTCATCTTTTGTAGTTTAAAATTTCTATTGTTTTGGAGCTAGCTGTGAGTTTCTAGAGATGTACAGAATTACTCCTGTGTTCTGCGGTTATGTTGAGTAGGAATAAATAAATCTGACTGACTGCCTCCTGAATGCTGCAATGGGGTCTCTGCTGTCCCTGTATGTTCTAGAGCAGGGGTGGGCAAACTTTTTGAGTCGAGGGCCACAGTGGGTTCTTAAACTGGACTGGAGGGCCGGAACAAAAGCATGGATGGAGTGTTTGTGTGAACTAATATAAATTCAAAGTAAACATCATTACATAAAAGGGTACGGTCTTTATTTTTTTTTAGTTTTATTCATTTCAAACGGGCCGGATCCGGCCCGCAGGCCGTAGTTTGCCCACGGCTGTTGTAGACCCTTCACCTCAGCCTTCACATATGGTGACAGTGGGCACTGTCTCAGTGAGCTTTGCTCATCTTCAGAAATTATAACTTACTGTTGGGACTCCCCTTTGACTTCGGTCATCTGACACCCTACCTCCCCTTGCCCTAATGACTGGATCCAGATATGCCTGGATCCACCCCTCAGTGCAGACCACAGGCTCCACTAGGGAGGAGGTAGGCACTCCATCTGCCCACATTTCTTTCTTTCTTTTTTTTTTTTTAATATATTTTTATTGATTTCAGAGAAGAAGGGAGAGGGAGAGAAAGAGAAACATCAGTGATGAGAGAGAATCATTGATCGGCTGCCTTCTGCATGCCCTCTTGGGTTGGGAAGTGCACACAAGTGGTGGAAAGCCTTGAGTGGCTTAAGGGTGGTTCTGGGAGGGGTGAGTCAGAGGGAATAAGAGCTGGAGTAGCCAAAACCGGTTTGGCTCAGTGGATAGAGCGTCGGCCTGCGGACTGAAAGGTCCCAGGTTCGATTCCGGTCAAGGGCATGTACCTGGGTTGCGGGCACATCCCCAGTGGGAGATGTGCAGGAGGCAGCTGAGGCAGCTGATCGATGTTTCTCTCTCATCGATGTTTCTAGCTTTCTATCTCTCTCCCTTCCTCTCTGTGAATAATCAATAAAATATATTTAAAAAAAACAAAAAAAAAAAAACTGGAGTAATGGGTTCCTGTCTCAGTTGTATAGCCTGGCCTGTGACAGGCAGGGGCTGGACTGAAGCTGGCAGAAGACATCCCAGCTCGGGCAACTTGGGTCGGTAGGGGGGTGCACAGGCAGGAGACTGGGCAGGGCTGTAGAAGTACCACTCACCACCTTCATCCTCTGGAGAAGTGGGTTTTTTGTGTGTGTTTTTTAATATGTTTTTATTGATTTCAGAGAGGAAGGGAGAGGGAGAGTTAGAAACACCAGTGATGAGAAAAATTCATTGATTGGCTCCAGCTGCACGGCCCCATACTGGGGATCAAGCCTGCAACCCGGGCATGTGCCCTTGACTGGAATCAAACCCAGGACCCTTCAGTCTACAGGCTGTCTGCTCTATCCACTGAGCCAAACCAGCTAGGGCTTTTTTTTTTTTTTAATCCTCAAGGAGTGAGAATATTTTTTTCCATTGATTTCTAGAGAGAGTGGAAGGGATGGGGGAGAGAGAGAGGGAGAAACATCTATGTGAGACACATTGATTGGTTGCCTCTCACAGGCACCCCAACTAGAGGCAGGGATTGGACCTGTAACGCTTGACCAGAAATCGAACCCTTGACCCTCCAGTGTGCTGGCTGACACACTAGCTACTGAGCCACACTGGCCAGGACAGGGTTTCTTTTTATTACAGTAAAATATATGTAAATTTTACTGTTTTAAGCATTTGTAATTACATCTGAATGGCATTAAGTGTAGTCATGTGTTGTGCATGGAGGGGGGTGGTTTTGAAAAGGCAGATGTCCCTGGATTTAGGAGTAGGCCTGGGGTTCCAGCCAGAGGGCAGGTGGGGCTGAGGTCAAGACAGCCGCTAGAAAGGCCTGGAGGGCTACAGCTCCTCCCTGTACACCTGGCCTCTCCAGTTTATCCAGGACCAGGTGGTCTGGGCCCTTGTGCTAGGAGGACGGGATCCAGACTGTGCCCAGCTCTTACAACCCTAGTGCAGAAGGTACCACCCACCTGCCCCTGGCGCACCCCAAGCCCTTGAGTCTCATGGGTTCCAAGCACTCGCCAAGCTCTTGGGTGCCAGGAGAGCAGCGAACAGTGGCTTTGCCCTCTGGGTGGGCACAGAGGAGGTTAGACTGATGGGGGCAGTGCACAACATGGCACAGGCATGAGGGTGCTTCAACCCCTAATGCTCACCTGGGGTCTCAGCAGAGAAGAGTTTCCAAGTGGAAGCTCCGGGGGAATGGCACAGAGGGTGCCAAGAGGAGGCCACCCATGTACCATGAGGGGGTTTGGCCTGGAGGGGACCCACTCCACCTTGAGTCCCCTCTAAAAAATGTGGGAACTACTTGTTTGCAGAGAAGCAGCAGGGATGCCGGTCAGGGCCATTGTAGTCCCTGAGGAGAAGTGGGTAGGCAAAGCCAACAGATACGGATCCTCCAGGGTCGTCGTAGATTCCAGGCCCCTTAGGTTTACCCTAGTTTCTGTACTCTTAGGGACTCCCCTGCGTACACCTCGTTTCTGGTCAGTGTAGGAAGACATGGTCATAAGCACCTACTGTGGGTTGTGGGGTCTCCTAACCCTGCATAGAGGCCCCAGGGTGTCCTGGGGAAGGGACCCTGCAGCTAGGGTAAGCAGGGGCTTCTGGGGCTGCCCTCCCTACTCACACTGGGGATCTCTGGCCAGGCTCAGGCTGCAATCTGAGGAAGGAAGGGCTGGAGAAACTGCTGGCCCTGAAGCCTGCCTGGGAGCTCATAGGCTCCAGAGCAGAGCCTGACCTTGGGGTGCACCCTCCCTGGCTTTCACCAGCAGGTCCTGGACCCTCACTGCATCATGTGGAAATGTGGGTATCCTCTCTCGGGTAGCAGGCTGCTCAGTAGCTGGTGCACTTGCCTGGGTCTGGGAGCTGGGGGAGCTTCCTAGAGGTGGGGCCCTGCCATAGTTCAGGCAAGTGGGGAAGGAATATGCAGGGGAAGTGCCTCACCTGGGAGGAGGATGGTGGCCACAGTGGGGTTTGGGATCTGTGGAGATGGAATGGCTCTCAGACTTGATAGTGTCTGAATTATTAGAGGATTTGTTAAAACAGGCTGCTCTTGCCTTTCCTTCCCTGCATCTGCCCGCTTCCCTCCTGCCTTTGTCCCTTTGCCCATGTCTCCCTGCCTGCCGGACTTCCACACTGAGCACGGGGGCTGCCTGCCAAGGAGGTTGTGCCATCCTCACAGTCCAGGAGGGGAGCAGTGGTAAGGGGATTTCTCCCACCATGACCGGGGCCACCTTTTATTTTGAGATATAATCAATGAATGTATTAGTTTCAGGTGTACAGCATAATGACTGGACACTTGTAAGGTGCCAAATGATCACCACAATAAGCCATCACCACACAGTCACAAAATTTTTTTCTTGTGCCCAGAACTTTTAAACTCTGTCAGCAACTTTCAAATGTACAATACAGTATTGTATACTATATATATAATAATACTGTATAATACAACACAGTATTATATTTTCCTGGGCCTCCTGAGCCCTCAAGTCTCTCCTTTGGGAAACTCCCCCTACATCCCCCAAAGGTCCAGCATGTCTGGGACTTAACCAATCTGCCCCCTCCCCCCTAGTTGGCCCAGCCTCTCCCTACTGAAGAGAGCACAATGTAGTTACCACTTTCTTTGTTAATCGTTCCCTCTTACATCTCAGTCTTCTCCCTAGGCCACTTTCTTTCTGCCTCAAGTGCATTCTGTAGTAGAGTCGGGACTGGGTGAGGCAAGTAAGGCACCAGGAACACAAAATTGAAAGGTGTGCAGGGGCTGCAGTCTAAATTTATTCTGACCTTAAAAAAAAATGTTTTAAAAAAATATTTTTATTGATTTCAATAAACGTGGTACATCACATAAACAAATTGAAAGAAAAAAAACCACATGGTCATATCAATTGATGCAGAAAAAGCGTTTGACAAAATTCAACACCCATTTTTGATAAAAACTCTCAGCAAGGTGGGAGTAGAAGGATCATACCTCAACATAATAAAAGCCATATATGACAGGCCCACAGCCAACATCATACTCAATGGACAAAAACTAACACCATTTCCCCTAAGAACAGGAACAAGACAGGGATGCCCCCTCTCACCACTCCTGTTCAACATAGTACTGGAAGTGTTAGCCATTGCAATTCGGCAAGAAGAAGAAATAAAAGGCATCCAAATTGGAAAAGAGGAAGTAAAACTGTCCTTATTTGCAGACGACATGATATTATACATACAAAACCCTAGAGACTCCATCAAAAAGCTACTAGACTTAATACATGAATTTGGCAATGTAGCAGGATACAAAATTAACCCCAAGAAATCTGAGGCATTTCTATACACCAATAGTGAACTTTCAGAAAGAGAGATTATAAAAACAATCCCGTTTACCATCACACCAAAAAAATTAAGCTACCTAGGAATAAACTTAACTAAAGAGGTAAAAGACCTCTACTCAGAAAACTACAGGACGTTGAAAAAAGATATAGAGGAAGACATAAACAGATGGAAGAACATACCGTGTTCATGGATTGGTAGAATCAACATCATTAAAATGTCCATACTACCCAAAGCAATCTATAAATTCAACGCACTTCCCATTAAACTACCAACGGCATACTTCAGAGATCTAGAACGAACTCTCCAAAAATTCATCTGGAATAAAAAAAGACCCCGAATAGCTGCAGCAATCCTGAAAAAGAACAAAGTAGGTGGGATCTCAATACCAGATATCAAGTTGTATTACAAAGCCACTGTTCTCAAAACTGCCTGGTACTGGCACAAGAATAGGCATATAGATCAATGGAATAGAATAGAGAGCCCAGAAATCGGCCCGAACCAATATGCTCAATTAATATTTGACAAAGGAGGCAAGAACACACAATGGAGCCAAGATAGTCTCTTCAATAAATGGTGTTGGGAAAATTGGACAGATATATGCAAGAAAATGAAACTAGACCACCAACTTACACCATACACAAAAATAAACTCAAAATGGATAAAGGACTTAAATGTATGACAGGAAACCATAAAAATTCTAGAAGAATCCAAAGGCAA